GCTTACTCAAAAAAATTCAATTAAGTAAATTGTAGATTAAATTTATACAAATAAAATGGAGCAAATTATATGAAAGGAGAAATAACTTTCAAAAAATTGTTTTATTTATTTATTATAATATTCCTTACTCTAGTTTAAATTTAAGCGTGTAAATATTAGAAATATTTAAGACTAGTCTGCTCAATTAAAAGACAGTAATGTAGTAAATAAAAATTGAGTGAAAATATTTTGTCTATATGAATTAAATATGAATTAAAAAATGGTAAAATATAAATAAACAACAGGATATACACAATAATTTACCTAAAGTTAATTTAAAACTCTTTGTGTTTCTTTTTCACAATCGAAAATGCTTCAGAAAATATAGTTTTGGCTAATTTGATTCATGATATTAATAATTTAAAAGGTAATTTTAATAAGTAATTTAAATTAATTAACTATTGTTTTAAAAATAAAACATATTTTGATTACTAATAATCAATCATGTATTAGGTTAATGGTGTTTTGAGTGGAATATTTAATAGATAGTAAATTTGATATGAAATATTCATGGAAGAATTAAGAATTTTTAGAGATCATTCTTATTATTCAAAAATTCATTTAATGTTTTTGCAAGATAGATGCAATACAAAAACTGCAACAAATTGTTGGTCAATGAAAGGCTTAAATATTTTCCATCTAGAAGGTTCTGAAAAAGTAATCTAAAAGCTGGAACAATAAGAGTTGAAAAAATAGGATATCATGGTAACTGATTCTTACCTTATATTTATGATGGTAGAAATAGCTTATTTGTTATGGTGTGTTGGCAAATTGTGAGACTTTAGAATAATCTTTATATACTTTTATTAACAGATTAATAAGCTGTAATAGATTTAAATTAATTTGAACATACAATTGCCTAAATATATATTGGCATAAAATATGAGAAAATTCAAGCTTTTACTGATTCTAAATTTTAGGCTTAAATATTGGTGAGATCGAATTACAAGCTAAAATTACTGGAAAAGGAAAAAGTACTAAGTTAGACAAAATGAGTAAGTTATTTTGAAATACCAGCTGGAAGGCCTGAATATTTTTTCAAAAATTTGTAATCTGAAAATAATTTTAGGGCACTTAAGAATTTATGTCGAAACAGTAGTCAAGTATTAGATGAATAGATGTAATAAGGAAATATATTATAAGCACAAAAAATATGGTTTAAATAAATGAATAGAAAAGGATAACCGATTTCGTTTATTTGAAAATGATAGAGAACGGTTTAATATTTGGGTTATCAAATATAATATCCAATGGTTATTTAAGTTCACATTTAAAATCAGAATAATGAAGGTTAAAAAAACAAATATATTAAAAGAGAAAAAAGTACAAATTTTTTGATTAAAATATATGCCATTGATGGAGAATCTGCTTTAACTTAAGGATGCTAGTTTGAATTTTTAAATTAGCTAGATTAATTTGCTGATGATATTGCAGGATATCTTAGTATTATTAAAACTTATTTAAACTAGAATGTCTTTCTGAAGTTAAAGAAAGGAAAATTGCATGCTAGTAATACTTTTTATCAAATTTAAAAAATCAAAAACCATAAAATAATAATTTTGTGGGTAATACTACATCAGATATATCTTGTCAAAAATATGAGAAGTTCTTAAGTTCAAATAAATAGTAGTTATTTCAAGACAGAAAGCAGTATACATAAATGACATCTACAGCTTTGCTAAATATTTTTTCAGTCTAAGAATGTGAAGCTATCCTGTCTTAATGATGATGAACAATCAGATTTGGAAGGTTCTGATCAGTATGATATAAATTTACTTAGATTTCTGCTTAGTTTGGTGAAATTTCTCATTCAGCAAATAATATACTGTTAATTGATAAACTTTAGCTACTTTCTTTATAGAACAATATTTTTAAGAGTAGTAATGTTGATTTTCCTCTTTGCTAGCCAAGATCACTATATAAAAGTTAGAAATGACTTTCTCCTTTTATTTAGGTTGTTCTTGATGCGTACAATTACCTAGGCATCATTTAACATTACAACAGATGAGAATTGTAGCTTTTTTTAGTTAAATTAGGAGTTACTAATGCGTTTGATAGCTATGCAATTTAAAACTGATTGCCTGAAATTTGTTCAAAAATCAATTAATATGCATTAAGCTTTATCAATTATCCCAAGAAAACGACTGGCTGAATGGTA